GGGAGAGAGTGTATTTATCGTACAAGGCAAAGTGGTCTACTGCTGACGTTTTTGAAACAGATGAGAGGAATCGCGTAGATCCTTCAGCAACCCCATGCACTGTCTCAAAGGTGTTGACTGTTGCCTTCATGATACTTTTCAGACCTTTTTATGTCTACATTTAAAAAAAAAAAAATCATGTCAATATGCACAAGCTGGGGTTCCCAAAAGGCTTTGGTGATGTATGCACGTCTCGATAATTTTTGTTTGACTCCCAATCCAAAAAAGTCCACTCCAAACTCAGATTTAGGAGGATTTTAAACATTAATAAATAATGTTGATTGGTTTATTTCAGCCCATAAGCTGCTCTCATTAGAAAGAACAATTGATTAAAATAACTACTTAGGCATTTCCATCTTTCTTTTTGGTATTGAAAACTCCCAGCCCTGGCAATTCCCTCCCACACTGTAAGCACATATCTTTTGGCTGTTCACTTCAGTGCAACTCAGTGGACTTCAGACAAACAACAACAAAACACATCAGGGATAAAAAAGGACAGAATTTTAAATGAAAAAATAAATCAATAGCCCATTTTCACACGGGTTGAAGGACTTGTCCTATGGACTGTGTTATCTGTGGAAAAGATCCTGGCACAGTAAATAGAAAGTCCTGTAGCAGACAGCTCTCTCTTTTAAGCAACCACTTCCCATAGTGCTGTGCTTAACTCAAATCATGATGTTAACAGCCTAATGCAGCATTTTTTTTTTTCTGGAAAAGTAATATTTCTTGGGTTTATTGCTTTTTTAAAGTGGCACTGGGACTGCTGAGTCTTTCCAGCCATTAAACATCACTATATGGGAGGATCTATCCTATTTAGGAAAGTTAAGACCTGCCTTATAGTGTGGGGAGTCATTCTGGTTCTTCTGGGAGGGTGAAGCCCTGGGAGCCTTCAGGAGCAACAACTCCTCATTAGAGTTAGGGATGGCCCAGGACTGTGTTTTCCAAGGCCCAGGACTGTGTTTCCCAAGGCTAATATGACCCAGCCAAGTCAATCAGGCCAAAAAAATTCAAAGCAAAATACTTTGGTGGCAAGAAAGCAGCAGAGCCCAAAGGTTTAGAAACACACCGTCCATAACAGCCAGGGAGCTGGAAGGCAGCATCAGCTGGGCTGCCCAAATGGCTGTAATTAACCTCCTGTTGTGACTGGAATAGATCATTTGCCCTCTGCTGCCTTCATGTCCTCCCCCACTCTCTGTATTATCTATATGGATTGTAAATATTTGAGGGGCTGTTGTTCAATGGTATTTAGACTGTGCCCAGCACAACAGGGCCCAGATTTTGGGAAGTCCTGGTGGCCAGCTTGACCACAGGGAAGTCTGGGGTTGCTTGCACTGATCCTGCATGAGTCAGCAGCTGCACATTCAGGTCCTGGAAGTGTTTTTTCTCTTCATGCTGGGGTGTGTGAACTGACTGAAGTTGGCCTTAGGAACTGGTACTTTTGTGATTTTTTCATCCCCATTTTATCCTATACAATGTCCAAGAACAACAGTATCATTAGTCTGGATTTTCCCATATTGATATGCAGACAGAAGGAACATGCAGTTAAGCAAGTTCCTATGCAGAGGCATAATTTGAGGAATATTAAGAGTCCCGTCTGCACTGTCCCACATTGTTTGGATGAATGTAGTTTATTATGGTTATTGCTAAAGTCAGTGCTCATATGCTGTACTTGCAGCTCCCCTGGCTTTCACCCCTATGGCAGAGCAATTTTTCTACCCCGTGATAGATGGAAAATGTGGATACTATAGCAGGAATGATGATGTATCCTCTATTTATTTAGAGGGCAGATGACTGACCTTTCAGAATAAAAAGCATAGATGGAAAACATGAGAGATTAATTTATCTTCTTGTAAAACACCCCCCTACAAAAAATAATAAAGTCTCTACAGATTAAGATCAAGACTCTTCAAACCAGAAGAGAGAGGGCACTGGTATCCCCACTGACATTAGTGACACCAGCCATCGTCCTTGGTTGTATAACTGAATTCTCTGCTTGTACAATCCAATTGTGATCAGCAATCCAGGCTGGGTAGATCTCAAAGCTCTAATCTTTATCTTTCCAAACTTGACGCTTCTGTAACCTTTGTATTTGCTCACAGAATAATTTCTAGCCTCAGCCCCATTGAAGATATATCTTGCTCTAGTCAATCCAACAATATCAGAGAATATTCTGGGGCATTGGCACTGGACTGTCTGTGCTGCTGAAGTGCTGGAAGGCTCACTGACATGCTTTTGGTCCATGACAACCAACATCCTCCCAAATGGTTCCTGGGCATGGGTTGGCACTTAAGACCTGTCACGGGCCATTCAAAGGAAGAAGTTTGAATGCAGTCACCCTCTTTTGAAGGCTAGTATACTTAATTATCACAGGTATGGAGTGCATCATGCATGCTGGCTTCAGTATGAAAGAACGCACCCAAGCATATTTAATTTATTTGTATAAATTTAGCCTGATTAAATTCCAGGATGTTTCTAAAGTTCTCATGTTTCCTTGCTGGATGCCTGGAACTGAATTGATCTATTTCTGTTGGTCCTGATAAAAGCCCAACTCCCCTAGCTGTTCAAGACAGAAATGAAAAATAAATAGGCTCAGGAACCACTCTATTGCTACAGCACAGACACTGGTTGACATAAATTGTGAATAGGTTTGCTTGCCACAATAGTATGGCTTAGAAAAACATCAGAAACAACACTGCTCAAACATGACATTCATCAGTACATCTGATGAGAGGCTGCAAATAAGCACTGATGTTGCCAAGCATCTGTCAGTGGATATAGGAAGACATTGGCCAAATAGGAAACATCTGCCTCTTCTCCAAACAAGAATCAGTGGAAAAAATAAAAAAAAGTCTGGAAATCAGGCTTTTCTTTTAAAAAGACTGGTGGATGTGAGGGAGCACAGACCAAAGCATCTGTGTACTGTCAGAAGATCCATGTAAATCTGATGACCTTACCATGGGACTATATTATGGGAAAGTAAAACCTGGAGGTGGCAGGACACAGGAAGAAGACAATGCAGAAAAGCTGGGCATAAGTGATACTGCAGGGTAGTTAAGCAGCACCAAATAAACACAGTCAAACAATACAGGAAACTGTTGCTGGTTTAAGAACTTGTTGGAAGGAACAAGCCTAAATTCAGATGCTCATATTGCTACAGCGGTGCTATCAGGTAACAGCAGTGATTCACGTGTCATGTCTTCAAATGGTGCTTCCGTAAGGGCCACTGGCAGGGACAAGTAGCTCTTAGGATGCAACTGGAGTACGCCAAGTACTAGGAGGTTGCTATCTTTAGCTGGCCATGGTAGTTTTGGTGTTACAGTGGAGACATGGTATAAATCTTTTCTCCTCCGGCCTTTCACTCCTCACCTCCAGGGCACCAAACCCTGCTGTTGTTTGTTGGTTGGTCAGAGTCCACTCTCCCTGCTACATCTTTGTTAACTAATTTAGCCCATACCTGCATTGTCTTCATCTCCCAGGTCTGGTAGGCTAGGCTATCTCTTGGCTTTCATTGTTCAGTCACTTTGCCTTGCTCCCTTCCGGCACGTAGTTGCGAGCGCTGTCAATGGGCCAGGATTAGGACTGTTAAAATCTCTGATAAGACTGGACTAAAATTTACTGCACTTTCAACGTGACCTTATTAAGGTTATTCTGCTCTGTGCAATGAATGTACATAGTCAATGTATCTGAGTGGGTAACACCAAAGGCTTGATATGGCTTGAAACACCTCTTGCTCCGCATACCTCACTGTAGGATACCAAGATTCCTTGAATTTATGCATCCTATCATGCACTGGAACTTCAGAATGACTGGATTTTCAGAAAACCAATATACCCAGAAACTGCATCACTGATTCTGCTGAAAATCAGACAATTTCTACTTAGATGCTGAAACGCAAATGTGGGGGCATAATTTTAGGAATCAACAACTTAATTTCAGGGCAGCATGATTTGAAGATTTTGGGACCACACTCCCAATGAAAAGAGAGAAAAGAGAAAGTAAAGCACAAGTGGGGCACAGAAGAAAAGGAAAAAGAATGAAAGGATTAAAAAGGTTCATGATGGCTGAAAGATAGGTGGAAGAGGGGGATTCTTTAAAGATGGGTGCTTAACTCCTCTCTTTAAAGAAGTATGAAGAATGCGACACATTCACATTTGCTTTTTGTGGCATACAGAATCTGTTGAGTCCCTAAATGACTGCATCAATCACAGATTCATAGAATGGTTTGGGATGGAAGGGACCTTAAAGATCATATAATTCCAACCCCCCCCCGCCATGGGCAGGGACACCTTCCACCAGACCAAGTTGCTTAGAGCCCCATCCAACCTGGCCTCGAACCCTTTCAGGGAGGGGGCAGCCACAGCTTCTCTGGGCAACCTGTTCCAATGTCTCATCACCCTCACAGTAAAGAATTTCTTTGTTATATCTAATATAAATATACACTCTGACTGTATAAAAACCAGTACCCCTCATCCTATCACTACACCCCTTAATAAGGAGGCTCTCTCCATCTTTTCTGTAGGCCCTCTTTAAGTACTGAAATGCCACTATAATGTCTCCCTGGAGCCTTCTCTTTTCTAGGCTGAACAACTCCAACTCTCTCAGCCTGGCCTCATGAGGGAGTTTCTCCAGCCCTCCAGTCATATTCATGGCTTCCTCTCGACCCACTCCAGCAGGTCCATGTCCTTCTTATGCTGAGGGGCCCCAGAGCTGGACACTGTACTCCAAGTGGGGTCTCATGAGAGTGGAGTAGAGGGGGAAAATCACCTCCCTCAACCTGCTGGCCACACTTCTCTTGATGCAGCCCAGGATATGGTTGGCTTTCTGGGCTGTGAGTGCATGCTGCTGGGTCATATTCAGATTTCAATCCACTAATACTCCCAAGTCCTTCTCTGCAGGCCTGTTCTCAATCCACTCACCACCCAGCACGTATTTCTGCTTGGGATTGCTTTGACCCATGTGCAGGACCTTGCACTTGGCCTTGTTGAACTTCATAGGTTTGTACGGGTCCAACTCTCATGCCTGTCAAGGCTGACCCTAATCTCCTACTTCTTATCCCTCTGTAGAATTTCTAAGCCTTTCAGTCCTCATGAGCAAGCAAGGCACCTCATCTCTGCATGCCCTGCCATAGCAGCTTGAATACCACAGTGTAAATAGATCTCATCAGGAGAAGGAGACGCTTCTCAGGAATGATAAAACAACGAGCAAAGCAAGAACTACCAGGCTGGCTGGTAAGTGTGGAAGCAATGGGCTTCTTATTGATTGTACAGAAGTCTTGCTTAGAGAATTGGCTGGAAACTTTACCTTTGAAAAAGTTACCCTTAGAAAGCTGAGAACAGAGCAGGAGCCAGTGCTGATAAGAGGGATTAATGCAGACCATGGATGGAATGAGGTTATTAATAAGTAATAAGATTGAACTGGGGAGCTATTCAAATAAAAAAGACATTTTCTAGTTGGGGCATTGTGCAGACACTTGATTGCCATAGTAATGGCAATGGAGAGATTAGAAACAATGAACTGTACAGCAAAAACTGGATGAAATTCCCTCTGTGTGGAAGCATCTATTTAAAAGAATGGCTAAAACAGAACAATTTTCTAGAAGAAATATATTTCAGGATAATTAAAGGGGTTCTGAACAGGAACCAGTGATCTTTGGAGCATGTAAAAATTGAAACTAATGCTGGCAAAAGATGCCAGATAAGGTTGCAATCTCAATTTGTTTAGTTGTTACTAACAGGGTGACAATTTCACACAGCTGGAAACTGAATGTCTAGGCTCTACAAATTTCTCCACCTGCAGGGACCATCTCCTATTATGCAATACAGTTGTTCAGTCTTTGGCATCTTTCTCTGAAGCTCCTCTTGGTGTAAACTTTAGTGGAAGAAGACTATAGCTGTGAATGAAATGGAAGTATTTCCCCCCAACTTCATTGTATTCCCAACAATGTCTAGTCTTCCTATTCAGTCCTCTAGGATGGGTGCAAAACCCAGGAGACCACTACTAATCTCCATGTATTTTTAAAAAATTATAGAAGTACAACTTCTCTGTATCCTTTTAGCTTTTCGTGATGTATTTGTCTTCTCTATTGAAATCTCCAGTGTCTTCTGATAGACTAGAAAATTGCTACTACTAAAATAGACTAATTTATCCAGTTGTATAAGTAACTCTAAAGCCAAGCTGCTAATAACAACCACCATCAGCTTTTCGCTACAGGGGAAAGCTTTCAGGAAAATTTTAAGCCTGATTTCACTAATTTCCTTAAGGAGATCTTGAAGATCCAAGACTCGAATGAGGAAATTAATGGGAAGCAGATAGGAATGTTGGCCTTATTTCTATAATATGAAAAGGCAGCTATGGGAGAAAATCCCACAAGAAAGGTATTAGACACAAAGAATTTGTAAGTTTGGGGTCCTACTCAGTAGTTTTCCAAATGAGGAAAGCACTTCAAATGCCTGTTGGAGAAATAGGGAAAGAGCTAGCATTTCTATTCTGGTTTCAGCAGTGCTAGTCATGCTGCTTTCCCAGCACACCAGTGCTATAAAATGGGAAGAGCACATCAAAAACTGTGAGGAGCCTGATGTACAATTCTGAGAGTGAATCTGTGTGTTGAACAGGGCACAGAACATGTTCTCTACCTGAACTATACAAACCTTACATAGCTCATGAGGATAAAGAAACTCTTCAGGACCATGCTATGAAATGAAACCTGCACATCTGTGATGTGGAGTGTTTGGTGGCTTTGCAGGTGTGTGGTCCCACACGACTTCTTAGATGAATCCAGCACAGACTGTCTGTGCTCCAGTCATATTGTCTAAAACCAACTGGGTTGCTACTATCACAGCATAGTAATGATGACAATGTTTTAGGAATGTTTCCTGACAATCTGACAGAAGCAAGAGACCATAAGACAAGAACCACTACCCCCCACACCACCCATCCACCCACACACTTTTCAGTCAGCGCCTTATTTTTATGAGATGATGATTTGATATTAGCCTTAAGATCATGGAGATATTTATTTAGTCCCCTTTCAATATGGGAACTACACTGAGAGATTAAATTTGCTTTTGCTTCTGAGTCTACGCACTTTGAGATTAAGACCTGAGATCTCTGCTAATTCCCTTCATTTTTTTTATAATCTGCCATGAGGGACTGGACCAAATGTCCTGCAGAGCATCACAAAATAAGTAAGTATGTGTGGCTTCAGCCCAACTTTGGTCTGATATGGCAAGAGGAATTAAAATCCCTGTGTGTTTATTACACAGTTTATACACATCTCCAGTATGTAAGGTGGTGTTCATTGCTCTGAAATGGCTAAAGATTATCTTGAGTGCTGCTAATGACCTTCTCTGATTCCCTTTAATCCCTTCATCCTTGCTCAAACCCTTCCTGGGAAGGAAATGCTTAAAAATATCCCTGAGCAGGACCTTTACTGAGGGCAATAAGACACACATGGTACCAACTGTGTAATAAAACAATACACATACCATCCAGCTGCTAAATGAGATGTGTAGACTGCATGGTGGGTTGGGAAGGGAAGGATGGAAAATGAGTAATAGTCCAGACCTGAAGTAGGTCCTTTAAAGAGACAGATTTTCAAGGGAATTAATGACAGTAATCATAGAAAAAAATTGTCCCTCTTACTATGACATACAGCTTCTCAGGTGAGGAATCCAACCAGAGATAGAGTGCAGGAGCATGGATGAGACAGAGTAAAAGTAGGATTCTCCTTTATGCTACTTGATCAGAAGATAATGCTAGGAAAAAAATCTTGTTTCAGTGAGGCCTGCTATTTGTAGGTATGATGTACCTTCCTAACTCATTCTAGGCTTCTCCCTGACTCTATTTTTTTTCCACCAGAAACAAAACTGCCAGGAAAGACAGCCAGCACATGACTTGATTGAGTGTGGACCCCTTCCCCTAAAGACGTTCCTAGAGATGGAGAACGAACAGCCACTGCTTCTCCAAAGCTAGTGTCCTGCTATGCCTGTTCACATGTATTTGCCTTTTTAGCTACCTTTCTGGGTTACTTATTGGATACATTATCAACATCTAAAGCCATCTGGAGGAGCTGATATTTCGTTGTTGTTCAAGACTATGAGAAAGAAAAGAAAATGTATCTGAAGATGATTAGAGAGCTCCCTTTCTGTCCCCTGACCTGTTAAGAAAGTGCTATGTACTAATAGATTTAACTTCCCTTCCTATTATGCTCTGACAGGATTTGCCTTTCAAAGCACTCTGACAAGATAAGACAGGAGGCTGCTGAATTGGAGTAAGTAATATGGGCACACCAGCCTGATGGTTAAGGTAGTCCATTGTACCTCTCATTAGAGAAAACAAAACCAAAAATTGTTCCAACTCTTATAGGGAGAAATTGCCTCCTTCACAAGTGAATTTCAGGGACCAAGAACAGAATTTGTGATAAGAGAGAGCAAGGGGAGCCATGGTTTGAGGAGTTGGACAGAAAGTCCAAGAGCGAAGAGGAAGCTAAGGTGCTAAGAGGTGATAAGAGTGAGCGTCTGGGTAGTCTGGGATCTTTGGGAGATAGTGCTGTTATTGGTGACTTCTTTATGCTGAACACGAAACTGCTGGTATAGACAGAGATACTTTTAACAGAGCCAAGAAGCTCATCCTACTGAAACTAATGGGCTCACAGTTCTACTTAATGAGGAAAACTCGGTGTTTTTCCGGAAGACCCGGAGGAGGCAAGAGTCTACTAACAGTTGAATATGAGGCCTCACATGGAATTTAGAAAGGAGATAGGTTTCATATTTACCCTTCTCCACTTGTAAGAAAGCTTGGTGTGACTGTCTGCATGTATGTAGTGACCCACATGTATAGGTGTTTACACTGAATCCTAGCAAAGGGACATATATAATGCCTAAGAGGGATATGGGTGGGAGGCTTCTTTGTTTTTTAGCCAGACATAAAATTGGGTGAAGACTACATGCAATTTGTAAAATTGTCCTGGTGAATTTGGAAATCCCCCATCTTGATTGTCCCTTTGTTGAAATCAAGGACAATATCATAACTATTTTTAAAAGGGGCAGGATAAAGGCCTTCTAGGTTCTGGAGGGATTTTCCAGGGTGTACCTCTGTGTTGCAGCATACACATCTGACTTTGAATGATATGGAAGTTTTCCTTGTTGGTTTAGTTCTAACACCCAACAAATTCAACAGAAAGATTCCCACTAACAGTTGAATTTCTGAGTATAGTGCTGTAGTCCCCAGGGCAGAACAACAATAATTTGTTAGGAAGGTCTTCAAAACACATGAATAATACAATGGACTTGGCTGGTGGTATGGACCATACTGGAGAAGGCTGTGCCATCTTAGCTCTAGCTTTAGACTGTGCTCTACAGAAGAACTAGAATTGCTTCCATGCCCAGCTGCTCATGTAGCAGGAGAAAAGGTCCTTATGAATTTGAGGGAGAACAGCTTACCTGGAGAAGCATGAGCCTGCCTTAGTCCTGGCATTGTGCTGGAAAGCTGCTATTTTTCCAGGCTTTGTTTGTTCTTTGCAGTGAAATGTGTTTAAGTGTCAGGAGAAAAGCTATTTTCTTTTCCTTCCTAACTCCTGAGTGCAGAGCGATGGTAAGAAGTAATAGAAAAATAAATAAAATTGAGGGAGGTGAGTAAAGTCAACAAAATTCCTAGGGAGCTGACAGGACTGAATGCAGAAAGTCCACAATGAAATGAATGGATCCCCCTCCCACGTGCACACTTAGACTAATGGGGGCATCTGCAAGTAAGGGTGTACTATTAATTCATAGAATCACTGAAATGACACTAATACATATAAATTCAGATACTCCCAACCTTGGTAGAATTGGTTGTCCTTATTCCAGTAACTGCACATGGTTCCTCATAATTCAAGAGACAAAGAGTGGAGCCAGTGCTGTAGTTGTAATGAGCTTTTGTCTGTCTTAAAATTGGCTGTCTTTTGTTCAAGAGTTCACCACCGAGTCAGAGTGAATCAAAGGGTCTATTTACATTTCTAGATTAAGTAAAGTCAGCTGCTAGGTGTTGAATCAGAAAAGTGACTCTTGACTGATGAACTAGAAAACACTCAAAAGCACAAGTCAAAAGTGCTAAGATCTCCTACCTCCAGGTTCAGAAGAAATTAACTGCTGCTGTACAAATATTAGGTGGTTATTAAGTGTTTCCAGGACACCACCAGTGATGCATGTGATCAGGAACAGCAAGTTCTGTATGAGATAATTATTCTAAG